CACTAGCATTCCACCTCGAGCTCCTATGACAGGTTGCGTCACAGTCCACGTGGGAGCTGATCTTCTCAAGGGAAATGGAATTCTTGCAATCGCCGTTCGGAAGCCATAGGAAGGGGATTCGAGACCACGTGGCGGATTTCCAGCCAGGCTCGCGTCCGTTATTTTGTGAAGGAATATGAAGTCAAGTGTGATATTGGTGATGGTGAAGATGATTATGATGATAATGATGACAATGATAATGATGGCAATAATAATGATGATTATGATGATAATGATGGCAATAATAGTGATGATAATGATGGCAATAATAACGATGGTTATGATGATAATAGTAATGATGATAATGATGACAATAAAAATGATGATTATGATGATAATGATGACAATAATAATGATAATTATGATGATAATGATGACAATTATAATTATTATGATGATAATAACATGAATGATACGAATAGTGATGATAATAACACTGACAAAAACAACGGCAACATAATTAGTAATAATAATATAATGGTCACGATAATAATATCAATCTCAGTAATGGTCATAATAAATCAAAACTAATAAAGGTAATAATAGCAACGGTAATCATGATGACAATGACAAAAACTAAATACAATGATAGAAGTAGTGAAGAAACAGTTATCAGCAATCGGCGCCACTCAGTCAGAGCACTGTTGTTAGAGTTACACTTAACATGTTCTTGGAAACAGCAAATTGCTTGTTATTTTTTAGACACGTTATCTGGACCCATTTCCAAACACATATAGTAAAGAATTTTGATGTGGGAATTTGTATGGGTTATTGGGTGGAATACACGAAATATGACCACCTTTAAGGAAAATATGATTTCTGTGTAAATCATTATTTTATTGCCACGTGTTATTTTGTAAACCAGTATTGTAATACCTAATAAAGAGCGTTATGGAAAAAATCCCTTTCCGCTTTTTTCACTCTTGCGTAAGACTTTGCATATTTACTGTTGCTTCACTGAGTTGCAAATTTATTCAACCGGCGCGTGATACGCTACGCTTTTTTCTAGCACTCCATTTCGTTGTTCTAACACACACAGATATATATATATGTATATATATATATATATATATATATATATATATATATATATATATACATATATATATATATGCGTACATAATAGATACAGTATATGTATATCTACGTTATACATATATATGTGTGTGTGTGTGTGTGTGTGTGTGTGTGTGTGTGTGTGTGTGTGTGTATATACACACACATATATATATGTGTGTGTGTGTGTGCATACATATATACACACACACTTTGTTTTAACTGTACTATTTTATGTTTATGTTTATATCTAGAGTACAGTCAAGCCAAGTCAAGTTTTCAATTTTACTAATAAAGATCCTTGAGGTATATAAATTTTAAGTTTTCTTGTTCAAACGTAATCTCACTTTAATAGATGAAGGTCGAAACACATGTACCTAATGCCCCATGAGCATGCAAATACGGCATTTTAGAAGATCGTCTGTTTATTTGCGTAATAGTGGAGGGATTATATTTTTAGCATTGGCTCTCCCGCTTCATCTCTCTCTCTCTTCTCTCTATTTATCTATCTTTATCTGCCTATCTCTCTCGTACCTTCTCTCTATTACTTTCGGTCCCTTCCTCCCTCCCCATACCTATTCACTTAACTTTCTCTCTCTCTCTCTCATTCTCTCTCTTTCTCTTTTCTCTCTCTTTCCTCTTTCTCTCTCTCTCTCTCATTCTCTCTCTTTCTCTTTTCTCTCTCTTTCTCTCTCTCTCTCTCTCTCTCTCTCTCTCTCTCTCTCTCTCTCTCTCTCTCTCTCTCTCTCTCTCACTCTTTCTCCCTTCCTCCCGTCACTCTCACACACGTCGCTCCTCAATCTTCTGAAACCAAGAAGATCCAGCACAGATCGTGTAAATTAAACCCACTTCCTTTTTTCAAAGGACATTCCGTTAAATGTAAATGAAAAAAAAACAATAAACACAATAACAATATATAATAACAACCCTCGGAATATATCATAATAACCATCAACTTTATGATCTTCCTTACAATACACAAAGGGATGTTTTGTTGATCTAGAACTCATGTGCAAATAATCGCGTAGATTCCGTTCCTTAAAGCATGTCGTGTTAGACTGAGTAAATAGATTTAGAGGTGGTGTGTGAAAATTGTAATAGATATTTAGGAAAGGAGAAAGTATTACGAGGTTGGAACTGAGCGTAGGGTTTTTAAATGAGTAAATGGGGTTGGTAGCATGTTTGAATTACCATCAGATATTTAGGGTTTGCGAAGGAAAGGAAGTTAGAAGGTGAGTGTAGGGTTTTTAAATGGGTAAAATGGGGTTGGTAGCATGTTTGAATTACCATCAGATATTTAGGGTTTGCGAAGGAAAGGAAGTTAGAAGGTGAGTGTAGGGTTTTTAAATGAGTAAATGGGGTTGGTAGCATGTTTGAATTACCATCAGATATTTAGGGTTTGCGAAGGAAAGGAAGTTAGAAGGTGAGTGTAGGGTTTTTAAATGAGTAAATGGGGTTGGTAGCATGTTTGAATTACCATCAGATATTTAGGGTTTGCGAAGGAAAGGAAGTTAGAAGGTGAGTGTAGGGTTTTTAAATGAGTAAATGGGGTTGGTAGCATGTTTGAATTACCATCAGATATTTAGGGTTTGCGAAGGAAAGGAAGTTAGAAGGTGAGCGTGGGGTTTTTAAATGAGTAAATGGGGTTGGTAGCATGTTTGAATTACCATCAGATATTTAGGGTTTACGAAGGAAAGGAAGTTAGAAGGTGAGTGTAGGGTTTTTAAATGGGTAAAATGGGGTAAGAGGTTGAATTTGGAATATGAGATGGGTATAAGTTGAAGGGGGGGGGGGAGGTGTATGTGGGATTAGAGAGGTATGTGGGTATGTGGGGTATGGGTGTGTGGATAGAGAGAACGTATGTGGAATGCGAAGAGCATTTATGTGAAGAGAAAAAGAGACGGATACACACAGAAGCATATAGATAAATAATAGGAAAGCAGAAAAGTAAAAAAATAAATTCATAAATAAAATAAAAACAACAAAAAACACGTATGTATATGAAAAAAATAAGGAAAATGTGGCTGACGTTGCTACACCCGAGAGCGTAAAATGACAAGCGTCGACTGACTCACAGACAGACAAAAAAGAACTTTGTCTTTATTTCTGAAAGCTTGTCAAAAAAACATTGTCGATGAGATTGGAAAATGACTTGTGCAGCCCCACGCTTGTCCCTGACGATGCTAGAATAGAAGCAAATGAAGAAGAAGAAAGAGGAGAGAGAGAGAGAGAGTAACTGAGAGAAGGGACAGAGGGAAAGAGAGAGAAAGAGAAACTGAGAGAAGAGAGAGAGAAAGAGAAAGAGGAAAATAAAGAGAGAAAGTGGGGGGAAATGCATACATACATGCGTGTACCTATATCTAGACACACAAGTCCACATATGCATACACATTATATACACTGATATAAACATAACAGCACACGCATATATACGTATATAAAGAGAAATAAAAAGAAAAGAAAAGCCAGAATAGAGAGATTTCAGTAGAGCAATAACAATGAAAAGTGATTTAGTAATAACTACGGCTATATATATAAGAATAATCAGAATAATATTTAAATTTAAGAAAACTGACTTTAATATTAGCAACGTTCCGTAAGAAATAAAATAATTCCGCGCATATTTCTGTCACGATACTGATGACTTTACGATATGCGATCAGCGATTCTCTTTAACCGTCATGACCTCACACCAGTCCAAAAAAAAGAATCATTTCTATCATAACACAGATGATTGGTAGTCATGAGAACCAGTCTGGTCTTGTACTGCAATAATAATGTCGCGGGAAAAATAATGACAAGGATTGGGTAAATAACATATGACGAGAGAGATGATAGTAATTTTCATGGTGATAGTGAAGGGAAAGGTGATGATGATGGTTGACTGGATAGGTGTTATGGTGATGGAATGAATGGTGTTGATAGTGATGTTAATGATGTTGATAATGCCGTTAGCCACGAAATAATGATGACAACAATGATGATAATTATGATGATAGTAATAATGATAATTATAACAGCAAGTATGATGAAAAAATAGTAGTGATGAAAATGGAAATGACAATAATTTTGTTTATATATGAGAATGACAACAAAATGATGATTATCAACAAGGAGAACGACATTGTTAATGATAATATGGGTAATAATGTCAATGACAAGAGTTACAGTGATGGTATTCATATTATTGATAATGAAACAATAATGACAATGAACTGTGATGATATGATGCCAATGAGAAACATAATACTATGCAAATAGTCTCATTATAAAATTGATGACACCAAGAACGATGCTATTACCGAGGATAATTACGGAAATCCACATACAGACAAGTAGCAAAGGCAACAGTATGTACATTACGAAAAAGATAAAGAAAAAACAACCTTAAATTATCCGGAAATAACAATGCAAATGTTCACAGAAGCAAGACTGAAGCGAAGGGAAATTGGTAGGAAAATCGGGTTGAATGCAGTTAAAACTAGTTACGTTTCCAGTGATTTCTTTCACAGCTTCAGCTTGCGTTGCCGACAGTGCACTTACTGTGAAATGAACATGTGTGAGTGCAGTATATGTTGGTAGATATACATATAGATAGATAAATATATATAAACAGATGAATAGACAGATAGACAGATGTGTATGTACGTGTGCATGTACTTATGCGTGTACATGTTTCTGTATATTTATTTACGGAGAGATTAATAAGGAGACAGGTAGTCCTCATTCTTATGGGCAATAAAATGCATTACACATCGGATGGGCATGAGGAGGAGGAGGTGACCACATGGCCTGGGAGCGATATGAGGTTTCTGGTTACCGCCAGACCAACCAAAATGGTACGTGGCAACTCGCTACCACATGACCAAGGCTCGCCGCAATTCGAACTTAGTGTTAAACTTGCAGGTGTTGAGGAAGGTTGTCTCGCACCCCCTGCCTGATTCTCGTGTCACGTGGGTCAATTTATTTTCGTGACCACACGGACCTTAGAAATCGAATTTGATTGAAAACTGACGCACCCGTGCTCGAAGTGTAGCAAAACTTTTATACGTATTTGGGATAACAGGATACGCTATCGTGGAAGTTCGGCGCAACGTCTTTTTGCGACAGGAACTTCCGAGCGCTGCGAACAGGTAAGACTTCGCCGCCGTTTCCTTCGCGTGAGAATTTTCGCCCTGGAGAAATCACAGCTGGGTTTGGGAGAATGTAACTGGTCTTTCTTATGACGACGCGATTGGTCCGTTTTGTCTAAAGCTATTCTGTGATTTTAGTTGTTTATGAAGCCTGTCTGTTAGTGTATTTAAACCCGTGTATATTCATGGGACTGTATCTCTCTATCTATCAGTCTATCTATCTATCCATCCATCTATCTATCTATATATGTATATATATGCATATATATATATATATATATATATATATATATATATATATATATATATATATATATGTATGTATATATATATATATATATATATATATATATATATATATATATATATATATATAAGAGAATAAATGCAGGTATGTATTTATGAATTTCATTCTATTATATTACGTTATAAAAGTCATTGTCATTAGAAGGGGAATAAATGGATTACAAAATCAATTATATAAACCAATTTTTTTGTAACTATGCACGCACATCCATCGACAAAGATACAGACAAAGAAACACAAAGGAATTTCATCTCACTAGATAAATTAATGCGAGACCTGAGAGCCAATTAAGGGAGGAAGAAAGGGAGAGAGAAAAGAGAGAGGAAAAAAAGGAAGAGAAGGGAACAGCCCAGAATTATTGAAATAAAATGTAAATAAAGGTTGAATGAAAGTGATACGGCGGCGGCAGTGACATTATTTTGTAATGATGCAATGCCGAGAGAGAGAGAGAGAGAGAGAGAGAGAGAGAGAGGGAGGTAGAGAGAGAGAGAGAGGGAAGTAGAGAGAGAGAGAGAGAGCAAACTCCTTTTGTGTAACAGAAAACGGTAACTAACGTCAGTTCCGATTCTCTATTTGGAAGGGGAAACTATCCTAACATTCAGGGTCTGGGCGTGAAAAGGAAGAAGGAATGGTTTTGACAATATATTTTTTTTTTATATGAAGGAGGGTGTTCTAAGTATTATGATGATAGTAGGCCTAGTAGAATAATAAACATCATTGCTCACGGTTTACAAAATTAATTAAGAACTCGATCAAATGATAAAAAAATAAAGATAGAAATAATCGCATACACTCAACAGAAAGATGAAAAAAAAACTAGGAAAGGAAAAAAAGATAAACAAACGAAAAGAGGCAAGAAAAACAAAACAATCATTAAAGAAAACAAACACAAGAAAAATTAAAAGCAATAAAGAAAAAAAATACAACGAAGACCCCTATAACCCCACGACACTTACCTGCCCTGAGGTCATTTCCCCGGCCAGGTAAAAGAAGATAAACCGTCCAGGTGTGATGCACAAAGCCTGTAAGGAAGCTAGGCCTATAGACGATTCCCTTTAGGCCTAAATCACACTGGAAAAAAAATGACGGAAGTTATGAGGACGTATTACATCTCGATACTCATTTACCTCGAATAAGGGAAAGGGGGGGGAGGTTGTCATGGCAACGTGCGAGGCCAAAGAGATGTGTTTTCTGATCACAGGTATTATAGTTTGTTTTTTTTTCATTCACTTGTCATTATTATAATTACAATTCCCTTTGCTGTTGTTATTTTGGTGTTGGTCTCATCCTTAGTGGTATTAATGTCATTTTTTATCTTCAGGGTCATTATTATTACGTTGATTATCGTCGTTATTATAATTGCAACATGATCTTTATCTTTATTATAACGATAATGATGATCATGAATATAATAATGAGAATGATAATGATGATTATATTGTTGACGATAAGATAATGACTGCTGATGAGAGTGATATCGGTGACGATAATGATAATAGCAATGCTGATGATATTGATAATGATGATAATGGTAATGATAATCATGATAACAATGATGATAACAAAGATAATGATGGCGAATACAACTACAATATTAAGCCATGCGTCTCGGCTACATCTGCACGGTATATCTCAGCTAGATCACTGCTCTTGCGTGGATTGCATGATCAATCTCACAGCATAGGTTGTCATGCAGGTCGAGGCACGTGGTTCTTGGTTCGATTAATAAGTTCTCTTGTTGGCGTTGATAGTTACAGTAGTTTTTGATGAATTTTACGATAAGATACATGAAAATTATTCCACCAATTAAGAAAACAGTAGTGGTGACAATCATAATAATAATGAGGATTGTAATAACAATTGTAATAAGAAAGATACTAGTGATAATATAATAATAAGGATAATGATAATAATATCATATGATAAGGATAAGGAGAAAAATCATAGTAATGATAAAATGACGATA